TAAAAAGCCACTTGCTTCCTAGTGGCTTCTGGGTTGTCACCACACCAGCTCTGTGATTCACAAGAGTCTCACTTTGCGTACAGCAGCGACACCTATATGGGGAGGCGTGGGGGTAGGGAGCCTGTGTGTTTCACCATTTCCATCTAGATGAGGAACAGACAAAGAGATAATTATAAACTGTTTCTCTTATTGTTGCACTCGCAGTAGGCCTGTGCATCTCTCTCCCGCTCCCTCGCTCGCTCTCTTTTTTTTTTTTTTTTTTTTCCTACACAGAAAAGTAATTCTGTTGTGGAGATGGTACCAGGTGCACGGGGTGACCTCACACACACCAAATCGGGAGCTGACATCCATCACGCTTCGAAATTTTGGATTTCATCATTTCCTGATCTTTCTAAAGGGATCACAGCACCTGGCCCTCACAGCTGTAGTTCATTTAGAAAGCAATTTAAAAACCGAGAAAAAAGCAAATGACATCTTGCTGCCTCAGCCTTGTCATTAAGTATAGCAGAATGGCCTTCATTTATGAGGCACATGGCTAAGAATTAATATCTTTCAGGGCTTTCTCGAGTAGAGATTACAAAAGGTTGGAAAGACCACTAAATAATTAGTGGTATGACTGAGGCAAGCAAGAAAAAAAGGGGGGAGGGGGAGAAATCCCTCTTTCGTTCTACAGAAGAAAATCAGAAATTGCTCTGACTTTCGTGTGTCCTGACAGCGGGCGTCACTGCACTGCACCCTCTGTATTTCAGCCGTGGGGCGTGGCTTTGCTTATTTTTCCCAGCGGGCATTCTCAACACCCCCTTGGGTAGATCTCCTACTTCACATAGTGTCCATTAGTCAGAAGTAAAACATATTTTTTCTTCCCAAATGTGTTTGAATACCCCAAACGAAGACTGCCTAAAATGTCTTAAAGTCACCAGACAGATTTTTGCACCCCTTGTTAGATCACAAGTCCCTTTAGAACAGAGAAATGGGGAATATAAATCCTACTGAGAAGAGAAAAACATCGGGTAAGGATCTAGGTATTTTAGCTTTCCCACTCTTTTTTGCTTTTGAGCCACAGGAAATTAGGAAAATGACTCCCTTTGTCTAAGGCTCAATTTCCTTAGTCTAAAAAAATGAATGGGTTCTAAGACATGACTTTTGGGGTCCTTTAGAGAGCTAAGATTCCAGGATGCAGAGAAGAATTTCTGAGAATCATTCCAAATCAACTTAAAAGCTTTGCAGATAGAATTCTAGGCAGAGTTTCTCGTTCCTAGAACCTAAGACGTTAAGAAAAAAAGTGCTGCATTTCTTTCAGATTTGATCCTTGTTTTTAATAAAAATGTATTGAGTGCCCCAGAATGCTAGGTGGAGTGCTTACATTATCTATAATCTTGCTCAGCTTGATTCTAGGTGAGCATAATTATTCTCTTTTTATATGGAAGAAACCGAGCTCAGCCTGCGAGGCCCGGCAATGCTCCTTTAGTGCGAGATGTAGCACATGTGGATTCACCCAAATGCCACTCAATACTTCTCGCAGCTCAGGGAGAGTCCTCCAGTTGAATTCTCAGGACATATCATGTCACTTGCTTCCTAGTCCTGCCATTTGTGCCCCAGACCTGGGAGCTAGGAAACCCTGTAACGTGTACCTCTTTCAGGTCCTCACTGTTTGGCTCACCAAGGTTGCGATGTCTTGCCAACTGGGTGTTTCCTCAAATTCATGAAAACTTAGTATCCCTAAGTGCATCAGAAAATTTGCTGGAAGAAAAAGTGGAAGAGAATCTTCTGGAAGATGAAGAGAAAGGGAATATATAGTTTGGAGTTCTAGGAGCCAGAATGCTCCTAAGTGCAATCCATGTATATATACTTTTTATTTATTTATTTACTTATTTATTTATTTTCATTTTCTTATTTTTTTACATTTAATCAGTGTACATCATTACAGCCTACAAAATAATTTTCCCAGCATGAATACACCATACACTGCATATTAGTCCAGGCAAAGATATTACCATTCACGTTATCCTCAACAGGTGATGTTCCATGTTTATGTCCGTTAAATTTTTCTCCCTTAATTTTCCTCCCCATTGTCTACCCTTCCCCACTCTGTCTCTACTATCCACAGTTGCTCTTTCTGCCTTTATACCTTCCAGTCTTCTGGTTTCCGCCTCACAATGGCCAGATAGTAGGTTTTCTAATGCATCCTTATAGCAGAAGACTGAGGTGGGTGAAGCAGCTTCTGTGAGGGGCCAGACGGTGGCGTGGTGTTAAATGCAGTGCTCTGCAAGGCTGACCCACAAGAGGGGGTTCTGAATTCAAACTGGGAGATCACCCTGAGGACTCTGGGGACACACCATGGCCATAGCCAGTGCACCTCAGGGCTGCTGCCCTTCTGTCTCTTTCTGTCTCTTGCTCATGGAAGTAATATTTAAGCATTTTAAAGACTTAGTAAATAGCTTTGTGAGATAGCTTGTGCTACGACTTCTGACCACCTGCTCTGCCTATGATAGATCTGGGGGTCTCGGCAGATTGTCACGGCTTGTAGAGACTCCTGTGTGGTGACACACATGCCTGGGGGCACTCGTGTGGCCACGTGACCTCCTCTGGCTAATGAGAAGTGAGCCAGCCTCACAGGTGCCACCCCAGCAACAGAGTTAGCCCACTCTCTGTGTCAGCCAGTTCTGCCAAGAGAAAACCACGTGCCGGGTTGACTGCTCCTGCAGCCCAGGTCCCTGTGAGGAGATGTCAGAGCAGAACCGCAGGTCAACCGCAGCTGCCATCAGACAATGGTGATGTGAAATACAGCTTCTTCTCTGTAGGCCACTGACAGCTCTTGTCCAACGACAATCCCAGGGAAAGCCACGTAACATACTTGCCCCAAGTTCTTAAGCTAATGGCTGCTTTGGCACTGCTGTCAGTTTGAGTATACCTTAGGTTCTAATTGAACAATGGCTCTATTAAAAAATAAAGCATGAGAGAATCAAGGGGGAAAAGGAACAAAATATTTAAGGGACATTAAAGTGGAAAATTATCCGCTAATTATCATGTATATGATAGTACCTTTAACTGGACTAATGCACAGTGTATTCGAGCTGAGGAAATTCATTTTACAAGCTGTAATGATATTCAGAGGTTGAATGTCTAAAAACAAAAAATAAATAAAGCACATATTATAAACAATTTTAAAAAGTACAAAATCAAGTATAAAAATTGTTAGATTATACAATAATTAAACCCTCAATTTTCAGACTAGATTTTAAAAGGTCATTCTCTAAGACAATTTATCTTAGCTTTGGTATGAGGATACAGCACAGGCAAGGCCTTAGGAGATACCCAGGCGTGTGATCATTTCTTTTCTTCTTTTTTTTTTTGTTTTGAGAGAGGTTTTTGCTATAGGGCATGTGTGCTCACCAGAAAGACATAGAGAGACAGACAAAAAGCGAGAAATCACTCCCCAGGGAGGATGGCCATGCCGCAATCCCTTCTTATCCATTCTCCTCTCAAGATCTTGGGCATACACATGTACCCGGCATGAGTTTAAGTCATCAGGTCTGGGACTCTAACCACAGTCAACTACATGGGAATCCAGCGACATAACCATTCCTCCAACTGCTGGTCCCATGTGTGCGATAATTTCTTAAATAAGCAGGTAACATTGTATTGAAGTTACTACCATGAATTTATCTGTGATTTAGACACAGCAATACATTCAGATTTTAAATACCAAGTACACAGAGAACTCTCATTCTTTCTTTCTCTCTGTATTTATTAATCTGTGTAATTATTATGTTTAAGAGATCAGTTGGTTAGCTTGCGGATAACTATAAACAGTTGCCAATGACAAAGCCTCTGGTTGTGTATTCCTTTTTTCTTCTATACATGCATCAATTCAGTCAAAAATTATACTGGATGATAACTCACATCAGTTTTCCTAGGACAGAGGAATTTTCAAAATGTGAATCTTTCTTTGATTTAATTAGGGTAGTCTCAAGCAAACTGGGATGGTTAATCTCCCTAGGTAGGAAATATAAATCTTTACCTTGATATAGTCTCCCTAGTCATATGACTGAATCTTCATGTTACAACAAAGCACAAATGCCTCCTCTTCCATGAAGCATTCCATCCTTTCACCATATTCTAAATGATAAAGGCTTTGTCCTCAGAATGTTAAAATGTGCCCAGAATTCCATTATTCAAGGTTAATATTTGCATTTTATTTCACTCCATCTTTTGTATCATTTATCATTATTGCTAAAATTTTCTTTAATGATAATAGAGTAAGAGATCTTTGATTTATTTTATTTATTCATTTAGAGATTTTTGCTACAGGGCACATGTGCTCGTTAGAGATGCAGAGAGAGACTGAGAGACTGAAAATGAGAAATCACCCCCTGCCAGGATAGCCACACTGTAATCCCTTCTCTTCTTGGGATTTTGGGCACACACACACATGGGCCCAGCTTGAGTCTTAAGTCACCAGGTCTGGGACTTGAATCGCAATTGGTCACATTGGAGTCCAGCACCTTAAGCCCTATACCACCTGCTCATCCTGGCCTTTGATTTATCAGTTCAGTAGCTGGGCACGAGAAAGGTGAATTTTATAAAGTCCATCTACCCAGAGTTATATTTGAGCAATTAAGTCAAACTCTCTGGCATGAAGATGAACCCAGATATAATTTTGTTGTTGTTTCGTTTGTTTGTATTGAGTTTATTTAGAGCTCTGCAGGTGATTCTAATGTGTAACTAGACTTGAGAAATACTAATATGACTCAACTCCCTAATTACAACTAACAACCAACAAGCTTTATCTAACAGAAATTAACTATTTCATGCCAGATTCTTGTAGTTTGCAAGCAACAATTTTCTGAAAAAGAAAAAGAAAATCAAGAAACAGAGCTGTGTGATCCCTGCTATTTTGTCACAATTTCTGAATGAGTCCACACATCTGTTTGTTCAGTTCAATTCATGTCCAAGCTGTATCTCAATTTTTCCTTTCTGCTTCTCTCTTGTTTACCCTCTCCCGGATTCAGGAAATAGCCAGGGAAACAGACTTAACTGGCACTGACAACTCGATGTTTGGAAGTTGCCGAGCCAAGGTTTTGGGGCTGTGGCTTGTCTCTTTAAAGCTCCCAGGGCTGATCCTGGCTGTTACCAAGAAGGAGGATCACAGTCCAGATCCAATCGCTCTCTCAGCATAAGTGGCACTTCTTACTCCATTGGCTCTGACTGCTCATATATCTCTGCGCTCTCTAGAGAGTAAGGTTGGGTGTGGTAGGACAGAGACTCAATGCTCCGTGCCTCTAGGCCTTTTGTCTATCCCCCCAACATGTTCCTCTTATTCCAGGGTGCTGGAAAATGATGTAAAAAAAGACATACCATGATGTGAAAATTATGTATCACACTACGAATGCTGTAAATTAATTACTTCTTAGTGTCTTTATCTTCCTACCAGTGATATTGCCTATTTTATTTATTTTATTTTATTTTATATTTTCCACAGGGTGCATGTACTACTCACTAGAGAGAGACAGAGTGGGGAAGTGTGGACAATGGGAAGAAAAATTAAGGGAGAAAAATTTAACGGACATAAAAATGGAACAGAGAAAGTGGAAAATTTCTTTCCAGGAGACTAGCCATGCCACAGTCTCTTCTCTTCCATTCTCCTTCTGAAATTTTGGGTATGCATGCACACAGACCAAGGGTGATTTTTTTCAAGCTGCCAGGTCCAGGACTCAGACCACAGTCAGCCATGTGGAAGTCTGGCGCCTTAACCACCATGTCAGCTGCTGACCCAGCTATTACTATTAAAAACGTTTTACTCAACTTGTTACTTTAAAAAATAAATTAAATAAGTGAGCTATGAAATAACAGAAAGGGAGGCAGCAAATGGCTAAATTCTATTAAAGATGACTTCTAAAAAGAAAAAAGTTTTAGAGCCAGTTGGTGGTGTAGTGGTTATGGTGCTGGACTCCCACATGGCCAATTGCAGTTCAAGACTTGAATGAAAATCATGCCTGGCATGTGTGCATGCATGCCCAAAATACCAGCAGAAGAATGGAGAATAAGGGATTACAGAGAGGCCATCCCCTCTGGGGGTCAATTTTTCACTTTCCCTTGCACTGTTTCTCTCTAGTAAGTTCATATGTCCTATGGCAAAAATCTTTAAAAAAGAAAACAGTTTCAATGTTTTATTTCCAAAAAAGCAATGTGTTAATATAAGAAATAAAATATATCAGATAATTTGAACACTGTCCCTTTTACTTTGACCTCAAAGCTTTATTATATATGTATATATATATATATACATATATCTATCTATATATATAAAAGAGTAAATTAAGCAGGAGACTTGCACAGAAATTAAGCATTTTCTCGTTTCTCGAAAGATCTTTCTTAAAAGGGCAAAAATTTAACTATATATATATATGTGTGTGTGTGTGTGATACACATATTTCCCTATGTATATATATAAATGGAAAAATCTGTAATAATGCACGTGTCCAAGATTGGAAGTGAAGAGGACTTTGAACAAGGTCTGGGAGAGCTAATGAAAGCAACTCCATTCGAGAACTGGGTGACAGTTGAACCGCACGTTTTCACAGAGTGTCTCCCTAAACCGAACAGCTCCTCGAATCAGAAGTGGCTGTGTGGACACAGGGCTAGAGGAACGCAGGGCCTGGAGAAGCACTGGAAGATGCCGTTGGCACGTTAACCCACATGGCAGCCTTGCCAAGAGCCCCACAGGAGACGGAGCCACACGGCACTCGCCAGGGCAACTTTCCGGGCACAGTTCCTTTCGTTGCTTTTTAGCATTTTAAAGAGTGGGGGGAAATGTCAGAACTGTGCTTGCTTTCAACAAGGCATGTGCTGATTTCTGCTTCTTTCCTCAAGGTGTGTGCTCTCGATGCAAAGCGGATACCCCTAGGTTCATGGGGGCGGGGGGTGCTCACATCACCATGGTTACGTCCAAAGTTCCTACTTTTCTGAGAAGAAAATAAAATCATTACAAACTTGAAAATCTTATAATGAGTCTAACTTAGAAGGGCTTATCAGTGAACAGAAAGGTATATTCCATTAACCTTGTTGAATCTCTGCAAATTATTAATTGTTATACTTATTGAGACAAATACAAAAGCTATTGGTGTTCACGTGCTTGGAAGAGTTTAATCCTGGTGACTTGATAAAATGGAAATTTCCTGAGTGCCAGTAAATAGCATTTACATTATTTGTTGTGCTCTACAATTTCATCATGATAATAAAATATTGTTTGAATATAAAAAAGATCTGACTAAACTAGCCTGGGTGGTGTCCAAACCATCTGTTTTAGGTCCAAAAAATACTCATAGGGAATAAATATGTCTATAATGAGCTTGTGACTTTTAGATTTGAAACCTTAAGTGCAAAACTCAGTAACAGTCCTCAGATGGCAGCTCTCAGAGATATCTACCAAGGAAGAAAACAGGCAAGTTACCACTGCTAGTCAGAGGCGTTTGCCAAGAAAATGAAAACATTGAAATGTAGGTCACAGATGGAATCCCATTATTTCATGGCAATGGTGTCCTGAGCGCAAATCTGAAAGCCGTCAATACCTGATTGAGCTCTTCAACAGACCCAGCAGTCCTTCCTCCCTTTAGGAGGTTTAGACCACCTTGGAGCATGGCCCTTCTTCCTCCCAATGATAGGCAAGAGAGAGGGTCTTAGCTCTCACTTAGTTAAACTTATTTATAACTCCTACTATATGCCAGGCACTGTGCAATTGTTAGTGGTATGGCAGAAAACTGGACAGATTTCATTATTTTCTCCATGGAGATTTTGGTAGAAAGAACAGTCTTTGGAATCAAAACTAGATTTGAATCTAACAACTACCTAAGAGCAAAACAAATATATAGGCTGTCTAGGAAGCCAGTAAAATTCTTATATCCAAAATGAATAATATAGTCACAATGGCAGGATTTACATAATCTCTGCTAAAAAATATTCTTCTGGGATGTAGGCAAGATAAGGACTACACATGGTCAACAAGGACAGAAAAATGTGACAGAGAGATCAGCCAGGAGAATGGTGAAAGTCATACGTCGGAGCTGGCAGGTGGCATGGTGGTTGGGATGCTGGACTCCCACATGGCCCACCATGGTTTGAGTCATGACCTGGTGGCTGGCTTTCTCATTCCTTCTCCCCCATGTGTTTGTCTCTCTCTGCTCAAATTGAAGAATAAACACAATAAATAAAATTAAATAATTCTTTTCTTAATTCTTTTTTTTAAGTACTGGACAAAACTAAATCTGTTTGGATCCCCTGAGGAAGGAAGATGGTCCTTTATCTGTCCAAAGGCAAGAAGAAATATCTTCTTGTTCCCTTAGAATAAATGCAAGAAAAACTTCAAGACTGTCCAAATGCTCCCCCTTGCATGCGCACACACACACACGTGTGTGTGTGAGATAAAAATTAATCCTATTTCAAAACTTGCCAACTATATACAAATGAATTGTGTTGCGAAGATTCTTTAAAATATCACTTTTCAAATAAAAGCTAAAATATTCAATCCTGTAAGATAAGTTGTAAAACATTTTTTTCCCCCACGGATTTCATGATCAACTATGACAGCCCTGATCTTCTCACCAGTAGTAATCAGAAGAGAGCTCTTCTCTTATGGCTACAGGTGATCACAGGCAACAAACTGACATCACAAATTTTTAAGCCAGCTGACTTGTTCTGAAATATTCACTCAACAATAATTATTTATTGAGCACTTACAGTACGTGGTTGGAGTAGAATCTGCGAGTCAGGGAGTAGTAGAGGAAATGGACACTCATGGCTCCTGCCTTCAGGGAGCTTAGAACCAATAAGGGCGAAGAAGAAAGGCAAACAAATAATAAAAAAGAAGATTTATGATAGAAACCGCTTACAGGAGTAAAAGAGGTGGCGTGAGAACCAGAAATGCAGAATGGAGCAGGCGGAGAGAGCATCGTGTATAAGTGTCATTATGGCAGAGGTGAAGGTTTGAGAGACACAGCCGTGCAAGGCTAGATTGGTGGTGATACTGACAAGCATTCAT